CCTACCTTAAAGGAAGAATTGACCATCTGGATCTAATTATTCTGGCTATTCGTTATTGTCATAGAAAAGGCTTGTGCCACTGTAGTTTGCTTGAATGAATGCTCAGCCGGTACAAGTCTGCATGTTTATTACACATCTTACTAGAGGATAGTGATTCAGTGGTTGAGGCTTCTAATCACTCCTAAATTTTTTTTATTTTTTTTTATTCAATAAATGTTTATTCATTTTGTCATTAACAAAACAAGAGAACCAGCAACTTTCATCTAACTTCATAAAACACAGATAAAAAAGGATTGTCAAGACGTGTGGACAGATGACAATGCAGTTATGTAGCAGGCAATATTAAACATATCAGAGTTGACGGACGATCAACAGCCAATAAGTTGCATATATAGGTGTGCAAAACATCCATGTCAACCATAGGAAATATGAATAGGAGGAAAATAGAAAGAGAAGACAAGAGAAGAATCAGAAGTAAGAGGCAGGAAGAGAGTGAGGGAAGAGTAAGAGAAAAGAGGAGCATGGCCATGGGGAACACCTAGAGCTTACTATATGGCCGTGAGGCCCCAGGATTCAAAGCCCTAGCAATGGCTTATCAAAATTAGGTGGCAAAAAATTGGAAGCCCACGGGTCCCCGATTTTACAAAATTTATACAGTCTACCCTGTAGATTGGCCATCAGTTTCTCATTAATCATAACCCAGTGGAGTCTATTTTTGACGGCTGAGATGTTCAATTTATCAGAAAGCCAAGCTCTGGCTATCACCTGTTTCGTGGCTGGGAGCACGTGCCTTAACAAAGCAAATTGGTACTTAGAGAGATTATCTGGCCGGACGTTCAGCAAAGCTTCACTTGGAGTCAGGACCATGCATCTTTGAAAAAGATTACAGAGCAGATCATTCACCTGAGACAAAAGGCTCTGTGAAAATTAGGCAGGTCCACCAAATGTGAAAATAATTGCCACGTGCAGAACAGCCATGAAAACAATAAGGTGAGTAGCCCGGATTGGCACGAGCAAGGCGTCTGGGTACTATGTACCATCGAAATAAGACTTTATAGTTATTTTTTTCTGCTTTTAAATAGAATGGGGAAGGATCAGAACTGCTGGGTTTTTTCTACTATCAAGGCCAGACCTGGGCATTTTATGGCCTGCGAGCTGTATGCGGCCTTTGGTGTGTGGTGGTCCAGCCCCCCAACCTGCACTCTGTTATGGGTGGCTGCATTGCCACCCATAGGCCGGTGCATCGGTTGTAAACCATAACCCAGCACAGGTTGCGTTTGGACCATGTTTCTATGAACGCTGGCTTCCTAGCAACCAATGACATCAGTGGTCCTTAGTTGCTATGACTGCTGGCTTCCTAGCAACCAATGACATTAGGGGTCCTCTTCCTTTCCAATCATTGGTTGCTGAAACCACTGCATGGTCCTAACAACCAGTGAAAAGTGTGACCATTACATCCTCCTCCATCCTCTCCTGCAGCTCCTGCTGTGGCCTATGAAAAAATAAAAGAATAAAATCGGCATGCTTGTATGGTGTTTGAAGTTCCAGCCCAGCAGCGACTAACGAATGGTACCATACAATGCACCTACCATGCGTTACAGTGCGGCAGGTGCTTTGCATGCACTACTTTTTTCAAACGGTACATGGAATTTGGTACCGTACATTGCGGCCAGGAGGTGCGTTTGGGGTGCCATTCAAATGAATGACAACACAACGCACCTGCCGTGCTGTGACGCATGGTTGGTGCATTGTGCGGTTCCGTCTGTTAATAGGTTCACTTCTCCACAGCCATGCCAGTTTCTCATGTGGCCCCTCGAAAAAATGAATTGCCCACCCATGATCTTGTTTTTGTCTGTGTTGTTGTTGGAGAGTTCCCCTCACTTCCTGTCTGGTATAACATTGGCAGCAGAACGGGAAGTAAAGGGCTATCTCAACAGCGGTTCTAACCTGTCCCCACTCTGTTGGAAACTACAAAAAAGGTTTGGCTGGACATGCACTTTATGGCTAAAATTCTATTTTGACACCTATATAAGGCAAATATACGATTCATAAGAGGGAGCGTTCCAGAACAGTCAAAGGGAATTCCGCTTCTCTCCACGGATCTCTGCTAACTGCACTCTGTACATCGTGTGTGTGTGTGTGTGTGTGTGTGTGTGTGTGTGTGTGTGTTCTCACTTATAAAAGCCTCAGACACATGAACCTGTTTTTAAAACAAATGTCTTTATTTACATATCTAAATATCAGCATGCAAAGTTTTCATTAAATTAACAGAATACCTGTAGATTCTTAATGAGATAACAGAGATATATTTTATCGGTAAACTATATATTTAATACCCATGGGATTGGATTGTGTTAAAATCCTAGATATGGAGCAGGTGGCCAAATTGTGGATATACCCATGGAAATATATGTTGTCTCCATAAATGGAACCATCTCAACTCGGTCTTTATTCAATAAACAGCTCAAGGAGCAAAGTTGTAATCCAGAGTAACCAATCTGTATACACTTTACTAGAGTCATACCAGTACAAGAAGGATTCCGAATGGGTTCTTTGGATGGCCTACTGATTTCAAGCAGTGGAGAGGTTGACTAGAATATCCATCAATGGTAATTATCAACATGGTTTTTCCAGTTTGGAACCACATATTGCCCCCCTCAAGATTTTTTTTTAAATATTGAAACATGGTTATGTATGCAGAATCAATAGAGTCTTTTTCCTTGAACGAAGTCAGGTCTGCTTGTATTATCTCCATGGAAGGCATTGGAATTAACATTGCTTGGCTGGTCAGTTCAGTGTTTTATATACCCTTGTTTGACATTGCATATTGAAAGCTGTAGAGGGCGCTCTTGCAACACAAAAGTCTTTGTAGCCAAAGGGACGGTGATGGTACTCCTGCACGTGCATACTGGATGCAGCGGTGAAGAGTTCAAACCTTTGGATAGAAGGCCGTCAGCGTGGCATTGGTTTGACCACAGGCCGATAAAAGAGTATAATCTCATCTTTGTTAGGACAGGTGTAAGTGAAGGTTTTTAGCTGTGCTACATTGTTCAGGTAGCGTGATAAACCTTTCAGTTCACTGGGGATCTCGAAACGGCGATAGTGTCTGCAAACAGTCTGCAGGAAAGAAAGAAAAAAAGGTGTTTTACCGCGATCCAGTATAATGCACAGCCCCCTGTGTTTTGCAGTATGGTGCACTTTAAGTTGCATTCTAACCCATCTACTCAGCGCACCACAAAGCCAATGCATTTTGTTGTTAAAAAAGGTGCAGGTCTAATAAAAAAAAGACATTGGGGTGCATGGACAGCCCATTCAAAATGAATAAACTGCTTTGGAAAGTTTTCCTCTGACAGGGGTTTTACCCATTTTTCTACTCTATCCAAAACTAAAACTAATGTTTTGGATTTTGATACTCTATACGACTCGACAGTTTCTTCCTCTCTTGAGGACTTTATTATGATAGTAAAATTTCACTGGTGGAGTATCCAAGACTTAAAAAAGCCAAGGGCTGACTCGGTCTACCATGCCCCACACATGAATTACTACCGGTAGCACTTTTGGGTGAACTGACCCTTTAAAATTAGAAAACACATGGCAACCTTTCTAAATAATATATAACAGCTAGAGTTTCGTTTTCTCAGCACATTTTCACACCGTCCATTCAGGATAATGCCTCAGTGAGTTTCGTTTTGCCACTGGTGGATTCTGCCCCCAGTAAGGATTTCTCCCTGGGACAGCCCTGGGCAGCTCACCTTGGGAATCCTAGATAACTCTCATTATACCATATTTAAATCTTGCACCCACTGCCGTACCTTCTGCGCTCCTCGCCTATAGACATTACCTACCATCATACCCTCTGGACTTCCTCTCCTGGCTACACTGCCCACCGCTATACCCTTTGCCACACTCCTGCATATCTTACCCACTAAGACAGTTCGTCATTGTAATATCCCCAACCATTCCTTTTCTGGAACGAACACACTCTTGCTAATTTAGTAGTACAAAAACTGAACGATTTTGCATTTCTTGCTTACATTGATGATGTTCAGTTTGGGCAGAAGGTTACAGTCTGGTAGTGTCAATTCATCTCCATCCAGGAACTTCCTCTTGGATTCGGTCATTTTGGGGTCCTTGGCCAGCTCATGTTGCAGTGGAGTGTTTAGGTAACGGTCTATGACTAGGAATGAGCGCAGCAAATTCTTTTGCAGATCTAGGGAAAAAAATGATTGTATTCCATCATCGCATTAAAAATATCAAGTACAAAAATTGCATTTATTGTATTTGGCCACTGGTGTATTGTATTTATAGCCCTGGTGAAGGGGACCACCTTTTTTTACAACCAAAACATATTTTTTTCATAAAAACCTCACAATAAATCTACTGATCTCTGGAATCTTTTTTTTTCATTGACATTTCTGTTCTAAGGACCTAGCACATGGTCACAGCTTACTGGAGGGCTGCCTACACATTTTAAGCACCTCCACACCCAATCTAGAAACTCTGATAAAGTCAGGGTCCAGAGCTCCACCTTTTTGCCTTTTCACTCTCTCTGTTGGGATTACCTCAGGAAAACTGAGGCTTTGTTAACTGGTAGTTTTACCCCCTTCCAGCAACCAGGACAGAATGTCAGGTATCAGCCCTGAGGTCATGCAGTAGACCAGTCAGGCCCCATGGGGGACCTTACAGCCCGATACTGGGCTGACATTTCTGATTTGATAGGGAGAGAATACCAATGAATAACAGCACACTTGTATCCCAGACAGGTTATTATTATTAACTGCCATCAAGTCAATAGGGGCGCCTTTCCTAGTGCAGTATCGTTTATTCCAAAAGAACAGGCATAAAGGTGAACTGACAGGTACTCAGTACAGTAAAAGAATCCGAATGAGTAAAAGAAGTGCTTTACACAGGACACGTCATTCGGATTCTTTTACTGCTCCGGTTTTTACTGTTCTACAGCTTGTTTTAAACTTCAGTATTGTGAGTACCTGTCAGTTCACCTTTATGCCTGTTCTTTTGGAATAAACGATACTGCACTATGAAAGGCGCCCCTTTTTTGTGTTTCTGTCATCAAGTCAATGTTGATGCATGGACAGCATTTCTCCAGAATGATTGGTCTTTTTTGGGCCTTAAGTCTTTGATATGGCATGTTCATATTTTCTGTGACTGTATCCATCTACCTTATTACTGGTCATCCTCTCCCATTTTCTCCTCAAATTTTCAAAGCATAATTTTATTTTTCAGTGACAGATTTTTCCTGACAAGTAAGGCTGCATTATTATAGCAACAACCTTAGAGTCGGATTCTTGCATACTGTAGTCTTTTGCTTTTACCATAATGTTGTATAACCTGTATACTCACTGTCTTCTAAGGCTGGTACTTGATTCTTGATGTAGGCTGAGAATTTATGGAAAACGTCATTCCCAGCTGAGGTGGATTCCTTGTATTTGGGTGTCATACTGGGATAACTTAAATTGAAAAAAAAATCCATTAGTATATTGTAGGAAAGTAAATGAACAGAAGAGAGATCCAAATCAAATCAATATTTGGTGTGACTACCCTTTGCCTTCATACAGCATCAATTCTCCTAGGTACACTTACACACATTTTTTGAAGGACCTCGGCAGGTAGGTTTTTCCAAACATTTTGGAGAACTAAGCACAGATCTTCTGTGGATGTAGGCTGCCTTAACCCCATCAGGACCCATGACAGATAATCCCGTCATGAAGTCTGAAGGGGTTAAACAGACAAAAGCCGCCGTGAGTCTGTTCAGTTTTGTAGATCTGGCGGCTCAGCTTCTACGATCCAATAAGCGACCCGACACCCCCGTCGTGTTTTCTGGGCTCCGCTTCCGGTTGTATTATTGTACTGCTCTCCAATCCTTCGGTGAGCAAACTGCCTCCTGCTACAGCCAAATATTTCCTAGTTTGACTCATCAGTCCAGAGCACCTGCTGCCATCATTCTGCACCCCAGTTCCTATGTTTTCATGCATAGTTGAGTGACTTAGCCTTGTTTCCATTTCGAAGGTATGTTTTTTTTTTGGCAGCAAGGCCGCAGAAAAACGGCACCAGGTGCTCTGGACTGATGAGTCAAAATCTGAAATATTTGGCTGTAGCAGGAGGCAGTTTGCTCCCTGAAGGACTGGAGAACGGTACAATAATGAGTTTCTGCAGCAACAGTGAAGCATTTTGGAGGTTACTTGCAAGTCTGGGGCTGCATTTCTGCCAATGGAGTTGGAGATTTGGTCAGGATCAATGGTTAACACACTTATTTCTGAAAGCATTCTTTACAGCATTTTTTCACACCTGCCTAAAACTATTGCACAATACTAAATACACACACTTAGTGTGTGTGTGTATGTATATATATATCTATATCTATATAGATATAGATATATATAGATATATAATTATATATACATACAGAGTCAGTAGATATGTAGGATTCTTTGAACATTTAGCCAGACTTCAGCAACTCCACTCTGTCAGTTTTGTCTCCCTAACACGACAATAACATTGTAGAGAATGTAAAGTGATGAGATACAGTAGCAACTTTCTCATAGTCACACCAGGCAGTGTGTTGTTAGAAACTCCAGCAAGCTGCATTTTACAAGCATTTCAACCTCCATATAAATTGGTTATGAGTGTGCAAACCATGTAAATGCATTCTTTTTAGATTCAAGACTATGGCACTGACAGGACAGGACAGGAAAGTCAGGGTGTCTGTCATGGATGAGAAAAGGATTAAAGGAAATGTCTAGGAGTTGATTCAACAAGATTTCGAGTGTCATTTTACAATACTTGTTTAAAAATAAATGAGCACCGGCTATTGAGTTACTGTTTTGAAGCCAATCATTTTTTACTTTGTTTTTATTGGATGGTGGTGAGGGGTTAAAACCTGGGTCTTCACTGTGTATTGAAAGTGAGGGTGAATCCAGAATTTTGAGTTGTCGCCAGGACAGGAATGGAAATTTTCCAAAACAGTTATTCCATTGACAACTATCTAAAAGATTCCCCTTATTTTAGAGAGATTTCCTCTTACTTCCTGTTGTATCTACAGGACAGGAGGTGCAGTGGAATCTCCCCAATGGGCACAGATTAAAAAGTTAAATAAAAAAATATGAGTTTTCACTATTTCATACTCCAAACAAAATGGACTTTAAATATACTTTAAGGGTCCATTCAGACCTCACTAGCGCAGTGTGTTGTAGGATCGTGCTTGTTAATGTTACATGTGCTAGCATGGTGTGGTGCCATTGTCAATGGCACGCTATTCCAAAAGCCAATGTTCCTGCGTTGCAGATTGTCATAACATAAGGTAACATAATACTATATGTTGTGTTGCGCTGCATCGGGGGGAAAAAGGCGAATGTCTGATTTTTGTCATGTTCTGGTACGTTTCTAGCTTATTCATTGCATGATTTGCCTTAATGGACAGGTCTGAATTGTCCTTTATACATTTCTTAACATGGCATAGTAGAACGGGATTGGCTGGGCATGCTCTGATGTCAGCAACTAGCAGGCCTCCTGCCCAGGTCTTTATCTCACCTTGGGGGCACTAAGTTCTCCTCCAGAAACTCTTCAATTTTATTGGTGTCTGTTTTGACCTCATTCTCATAAAGAAGAAACGGTGGCTGTGACCCCGGGGCCAAGTCTTTCAGGACTTCCGGTGCCCTTTGTGATAAAAAAAAAAAAGAACACAGAGGTTTTTTTTATTTTCAACAATGATGCATACAACACATCTCATTATGATGCTCTTTATATACCTTTAGAGACATATACAGATATACATGTCTGCATTGAATGTAGTGTCATTCCACCTGCCATATTACTTAGGTGTTCCTGCTTATGTGAGTGGCACCTAGGATTGCCATTGGGCCTAAGTGGCCATCATTCCTGGGCCTGAGGGTGGTGGTGGAGGGACCATCCGAGGAGCGCTGAAATATAGTCACTATGCACTAATACTAAACAAAGCACAGCCTTCATACATGATATTGTTTAAAATATCAGGGGAGTATACTGTAAATGTCCTGTGCTTCCTCAGAAAGAAAACTTATAACAAAATATGCAGGCTGACCTCTCCTGAAAATGCTAGTTCCCTGGCTGTCATGCTGATCCAGTATTTGCTGACGTGAAACCATTATACAGTTGAACCTTGGCTCTGACTTTTTTAATCAGCTTGTCCCAGCTTAGTGACTTGAAAGTACTTGAACCACTGGATCAGCATGATGGCCTGGCAGCTAGTATTCTTAGAAGGAGGTTAGCAATCCTTTAATGAGGTCTGCACCTAACTTCAAGTGTACCTGTCCTCCTTACAAAGTTTTGGGTTCAGCCAAAATTCAGTGTTTAAATTCCCTACAAATAAGGGACATGGAGGTGGCAAGACTGAGGTTACTTTTTTTTTTTTGCAGGGAAAGAGAGAAACCTCTTATATATTATTCAGACAACAATATGGCTGCCTCCTTGAATGACGGGTATGTTTTAAAGGTGAACTTCAGGCTAAATACATATAAAATACATATACTGGAGCTGTTATACCTGCCAATGGATTTGTATTTCTGTCCATCCAATCCTAAGATTTACACAGCTCTGCCTTACAGCCTTTTCTTGCATGATAAGGCACCACATCTTTCTCTGCTGAAGATCCACTTTCAGGTCCCTCCATCCCTACCTTGTAATTGGACAGTAAAAGGAGAAGCAGCACACTGATGAGTTATCTCTGCTCTCTCTTCGGCTGGGCACACACCTTACAACCATCGCAAGACTTTTGTCTTGCGATGGTTGTAAGGTACTTAAAAAAACGTACGATCTGCCCATCTTGCATAGGCAGATCGTACTTGCAATGATCGCAAGCCACGCCCCCTGAGGGGCGGGCTTCCGATGACCACAATGCCGGCTTTTATCTCATGAACATGCTACACACCTGCCGAACATCGTACGATGCTCGGCGGGTTTTCGAACATGTCCGTAAGTTTAAAGTCGTGCGACCTTACAGTAGTAGAGGTCGCACGGCTTCCACACACCTTACGATAATCGTACGATCGCGGGATTTCCCGCGATTATCGTACGATTATCGTAAGGTGTGTGGGGACCTTTCCTATCAGCAGGCTGCTTGCACTACAGCACATCTGATTGACTCCTTGTGCTGCTTCTCTCTCCCCCTGCCTGAGATCTGCTGTATTAGTGATTGCAGGAGGCTAATACTAAGTCAAATTCAGGTACTTCCTCTGCTTTCATTAAAAAAATGATTTAATGATGTATTAATGATACAGCGCTGCCTTAGTTTGTGTCTTTTAGATCTGCCTGGAGTACAGCTTTAAATTTCTGGGATCATTTAGGATGTAGAATTTTGATGTTTTGGCCTGAGTGCTGTGCTTACCTCTTCATGTCCACTGTGGTCAAGGTAAAGGGGCATCCTTTGTGCATGAGGATCATGAATAGCCTTTGGCTGAATGGACAGTTCCCAATACTTTCACCGTCATCGCTGGCCTAGAAGGAGACACAATGAGCAGAACATTGTCATATCGCTGCTATAGCGGTTTCTTAGTCATGCACCTATTGCGGATAGGATATCCTGTTTCTGTTATACAAATTATAAACTGAACTTTATTACATGCACAGCTTTTCCTGGATCTTACAATAAATGATATCTATGGCTAAAATCTTCTTTAAGTTTTGGGTACAATACCAATTCAGGTTGTTTTTTTGTCTGTGTCCCATTGGAGAGATTTATTGTCACTTCCTGTCATGACAGCAACAACTGCTACATTTAAGATTTCCCATCACTTTCTAGTAACTATGAAAAACAGAGTGGGTGAATCTTCCTGGCGGGGTGGGGGATCCAGATAGCACTCTATCCAGGACTACAGACGCACTCAAAGCCCAACTCCAGCCAAACCTTTTTCCAGTTTTGGATAATTGTGGAAGAGGGTCACATGTTTCACAGAGCCGGCCGTGCCAGGTTTTTCAGAGTGGGAATTCTGGCACATGCTCGCGTGACAAATGGTGTTCCATGCAAAAATGAATGTACCTATTGGTAATACATACAAGAATTTGTTGCAACGAGGCATGATGGGGGGTGGTGCTAAGGCCCATACACTCCATTCGCAGCAGACAGCATCCTAGCAACCAGTGATGCTGGTCAGCAGACAGCATCCTAGCAACCAGTGATGCTGGTCAGCAGACAGCATCCTAGCAACCAGTGATGCTGGTCAGCAGA